CGAAAACAATATGACTCCCGCTTACGCTTCGCATGCAGGGGTCATAATAACTTATTCAGAGTCTGAGGTGGATTGGTAATTCCCCATTCATTAAAATCAGGTGTTGGAGCAAAGAAACCTTTAAAACATGCAGATTTATGGCCTTCGAGGACCAGGATTACCCACCCCTGACCTAGCCTGAATGAAGAATTCTGCCCTTTTCTTCATACTCTAAGTTATGAAGAAAATGGCTGATAAGATTCAATCTATTGTCAACTATCTAATAGAATATCACTCCAAAACTGACTGAACTCTTTCAGTTCTGAGATAATTATTTTCTGCTTTAAACCGATAAATCCTGTAAAGGCAGGCGTGTTTTTTGGGACTAGTTAACTACAGTTTCCTTCCCTTTATAATGGACCAGTACAGAAATAWGAAATTTTATAGCTAATAAGAAATCAGGAAAGTAAGTAACAGGATTTTCCTACGTTTGTCATCCCATCGTACAGTCATTGGTGAGCTTTGGTACTCTGAGGTCTTCACCAAATCCCCCTGGCTGCTAACACTCCAAGAGGAGACGTTGCACACATACTGGCCCATGTCAGAGTCCTGCAAAGTAAAAAACAAAAAACAAAATCAACCAGCAGGTCATTTGATCCAAAGGTCTGCATCATTTGTAAGCATGCCAGCAGGTTCTTGAGTCTATTTTTACTACCTGTGTGCGAATATATTGCAGTTTGAATGTGTTTGGTTGGATCCTGCTCAAAGACAGCACTCCGCTCTTGAGCTTGTCAGCATAAAGTTTTCCGGACAACAAGTTGCCGTTGCCATCCAAGGAGCCGATTAGCTGTGGGCTAACATTCCCCTGACCTGTCAGGAGTTGTAAAAGTAAAAACATTGAGCACACCTGGAAAAAAATATTTTTTTTCTAATAATCTTTAAAAAATACAATAAATAAAAGAGTATGATGTACCAGGAAGTCCGGTGTGCTCCCAGCTAACTCCCAGTCTTGCGTCAGCAGGTAAAGAAACTATGTTCGTTACGCTACAKGCAAGTTCCAGCGGTTCGGACATCCGACTGGGCTTCTGGGTGGCCCCGAGGCTCAGCGTGAAGTTTGGTTCTGTGCACAGAGAGAGAGAAACGTTAAACATGACGTGGTGTTTTAACAGTTTCTTTACATTTATGTGAGAACATTTTAAAAAGCATCTTGAGTCAAGTTAGCTCTAAAAGTTATTCAGTTGTAAATAAATGTCCATCCAGTTTTTTTCTGCTGGGATGATTCAACACAATCGATATACCTGATCAGGAAAATCTGTCAAAATCAATACTTTTTGTCAACGACAAATAACTTTTATGACTTTTTCTTTTAATTTCTTAAACATCACTGATTTTCTCCKCACTGCTAACTGCTAGCGCGTCACACAAGTTCCAGTATAATTAATGGTTTAGATCAGTGGTTCTCAACCCACTTTCCTCAAAGACCACTTTTTTTACTTGCAAGCCATACCGCCCATGCCCCCCAATTCCCTTGCTACTCCCCACTAGACYCATTCAACCTTTATGTCTTTATCTAAATAATAAAAAAATAAAGTGTCTTATTACAAACTGATTTGGAAAAGGGGGAAAAAATGGAGTTATACAGAGTTTTAATTGTTCAAATGGAGTTAATCTGGTGATTTTTATACAAAACAAAAAACGCGATATTTTCACAACCTCTGAGCAGACAAGGTGCTCTCTGTTCCCCCACAGTTGGGAACCACTGGTCTACATTTAAGAGCTATCAATAACTGAAATAAAAATGTCATCAGTCGCAGCTCCAAATCCTATGACTCCATTGGTTATTGKGATATTTTGCTAACAGAGAAATGAAAATGCACATACCATCAATTATATAATTGCTAACCCCAGAATAATGAGCAGCCATCTTGCTAACCTGCAGGCCTAACCCAAATTAAATGAAGTACTGCTCGAGTGAATTCACAAGCCTACTCTCTGTGTAAAGCTGTCAATCTGACTAACTTCAGCAGTCATTTTCATAAATGTAACTAGTACTTGGTTATTGAAGTTAACATACACTATAACCATTAACTTTTTTCTAAATTTCCAAAACTGCAAATAGAATAAAAGGTAACTTGATTGGTTTCACAGCTGTGGTGTCAGAACAAAGCTCACTGCTGATTGGCCGATTCTAGTCAATCAAACACGTGTACCACAGACAGGTGGGACATGAGGGGCTTGCTACACGTTTTGGGTTCTGAGGAGACTAAATGTGAACCCAGCTGGTCAGAAGAGGTGTCAATGAAAAGAAGACAACCAASTGAATTGTTTCAACAGCACGTTGTGCAATTTTAAAATCCCTGCTACGCTATAAAGAGGGTTAGCCACAACATGGGAATGTACCGCGAGTGGAACAAGTATCTGTTTTAAGTGACAATTTCAGAATTTTAAACAGATATTTGGTGCTATTCACCATAACCTGAGATACTGAGCTGCCTCCAGATGAACAACTTCTTTCATCGCCAGGTTTTTTGTCAACAGTCCCAACGTCACCGGATGAAAGTAAAGTGGAGAGAATCTTTGTTTTCTTTGTAATTCAGGTGGTGTCAGGCTTAAATGGAGCTGGCTGACTGAGCCAGAGGACAGAAATAGACCTGAGGTAACGCAGTTAACTGTGTGTGATGAGGTGTGTATCGCAGTGTTAATACAGTGGTTTGCAAAAGTATTCATACCCCTTGAACTTTTCCATATTT